TCAACTCCGGCGATCTCTCTCTGAAAAGGAAACACCAGCAAGCTCTCCTCACTCAACGCAGTAGAATATAGAGAATTTTGGGATGATTTGGTGAAGACATGAGGGAATAAAGATTTCTTAAATAGAGGAAGGAAGGAGAAGAAGACATGGATGAAATATTCTTGAGTCACCAAAATCGGATAGTGCGCCGTTTGTACAGTGAGCGCCGATTGGAGTGTAGTCCCTGATTGGGACTAATTTCTGGTCCCAATTGGGGTACATTTTCTGGTCCAACTTTCTCCAAATTGAAATCCGATTGAACCGTTGCGATCAGACAGTCGAGCTCTATCCAACGATATACTTTTCATAATTATTTGTAATACTTTTTCCGACATCATATTTTTGGGTGTTTGACTTTAACAGAGTCAAAATTGGTTTAATTGACCTTTCTCATAAAAGGTTCTCTCATTTAATTCATATCAATTATTCTCATGATTTATTTCAATAAATCATTACAAAGTTCACATCATAATTAATTAATTTATTTATTCTTGATTCGGGTCTATACTCAGGTTCCAAATCAAGACCACACAAATAGTCCACATATTGGATTTATCTCGATTAGACTTATCCAGATTTTGATATTGGATATTAAAAAAATATTTCATATCGGCCCAAAGCCCAATAATAATCAAAACAAATTTGTTTAATCGAATAATTATTTAATAATAATTCTAGGGTATGTTTCGGGGCGTTACATGGTTAACATTAATTTCCTAGCAATTTCCTAAATATACTTTATTATAAAATGAAGTCTTGATTTTTAATATAAACACACAACTTTTGGCCATCCCAATTTTAGAGAGAAGAAAATTTTATTTTGTGTTTAAAGTTATTTTTCTAAAGTGTTAGAAATATACACAAAATATTATAAACAAATATTTATAAGATAAATATTTTACTATATATTTATTACTCCCAAAGTAGTATTATTATAGTTTTTACTATCCTATATTAAACTTGCTAGCACAAGTTTAATCTTGGACTCTAGAGCAAGTTCGTGTGGATACGTTGGAGGCTTCATACGTTTGGCGCTACGTTCATCTCCTCAAAACCATCCCCGACCGTTCCTCCGTTCTTCGTTTTCACCGTTAAGGTAAATTTCTTACTATAGCTAGTAATCTACGTAAGTTGTTCTTGGGTGGAATCGAGTTTTGGACTATAAATTTTTGTTTTCCGCTGCGTTATCCAAGCCTCGTTTCCCAACACTTTGAAAACTACACTCTGTGAACTACGGTGAAAGCATTCTGATTGGAATATTATGTTGAGCCTCTCTTTGTGGACCACAAAATGGTTGATGCGATTACGTTATCTCTGAAGATTATTATCGATGATCTCATTTGACCAAACAAACTCCGTTATGACCCTACCAAGGGAATGTATGTACAACAACCAGAGAAGAAATGACGTCACAAGGATCAAGCTGAATCATACAAGCAAAAATTCCGAACCTATATGCGATATTGGTATAAGAACTAGTAAGATTCCTTACTTTATAAATTCGTGAATTGAATCACATACTGAAGATATTTTCTTCTTTCCTTGAAACAAGATTAACCATAGTGCTAAAAACGAACCTGTCATTATCATATCTTGATCGAAGTAAGGAAGTCGAATATGATTAAACAAATACGAGACAAAGCTTGAATGTGAATTGTTATGAAGGCTCATTAACGGTAATGAGAACTATCACGAAGGTGAATGAAGGAATGTTTCAAATACAAGATCGATAATGACTGTACAACGACTAGTACCTCCTCATAATGTATGATAAATCCCATATCTTGAAAATCTTAGACCACGAAAAAGCCATTTGATGTTACTTACAAATCATTTCTGAACTATATGAATAATGTGAAGATGTTTTGAATGACTTGGATGATTTCGCTAAAACATATGGATTGAAACAACCTCGGAATCTCCCACTACATCTATTGTGATTCAAAACTACAAATGCTGCTAAATGACATACAATCAAAGAAAGAATGTTGTTGACTAATGACATACAATCGAGATTTGTGAATGAACGAAATGATGTACAAATATGTCAAGTATGCTCCAAAATACGATGTTATACCTTGCAAAGGAACTTAGGTTATGGTTGTTGAATCTGAGCAGGAACCTACGAAATGGATTGTTGGATGCCTTGTCTATTAATCTCTTGAAGAAAGAACGAATTTGATAACATCGACAGTATCAGAATACGTATCCGTTTGGATAAAGACGTAATTATGGTGAGATCATATCCGTTTGAACATGACACGGTCATGATAAAGTGAGATCACTACGAAATGTTAAACGTTGACCCTTAGAAGAATTTCGAGGACAAAATTCCTTTAAGGGGGGGAGAAATGTAACGCCCCAAAACACACCCTAAAATTTATTGAATTAAATATTCAATTAAACAAATTTGTTTCGATTAAAATAAATAGTTATTGGGCTTTGGGCCGAAATGAAATGTGTTTTGATATCCAATATCTTAATCTGGATAAATCTCATAGAGATAAATCCAATATGTTGAGTATTTGTGTGGTCTTGATTGAGAACATGAGTATAGACCCAAATCAAGGATAAATAAAAAAATTAGTTATGTAGTGAACTATAAAATGATTTACTGAAATAAATAATGATAATAATTAATATGAATTGAATATGAAAACCTTTTTGAATAAAAGTCAACTAAATCAATTTTGACTCTGTCAAAGTCAACCACCCAAAAATATGGTGTCTGAAAAAGTATACCAAATAAACATAAAAATTATATCGTTGGATAGAGCTCGACTATCTGATCGCAACGGTGCAAACACATTTCAATTCGGAGAAAGTTGGACCAAAAAGTGTACCCCGACTGGGACCAAAATTAATCCCAATCAGGGACTTGCGTTTAAAAAACCGTAGAGATCAGCCTCCTCCTCCACTCAGCCGTTCCAACAGGAGAAGGTGACAGGGCTTGCTTTATCCTTTCTTCTCCTTCTATATAAGTGAGACCATTCCTTCTCATTTCTTCCCCATTCTTCTTCATTCTTCTTCCTAAGTGTTCATGAAAGTGTGAGAAGTGTTGTGGTGCTGTCAATTTGGTGTGAAGTGACCGGAGTTGGGAGAAATACTTGCCGGAAGTTTTGCCAGAAAATTTCCAAGACCTCCATTAAGCTTCGAGGTAAGCCCGTAGATATATCTAATGACTAGAATGTTCATATAGGTCGTTTCTACGTTCATAAATGGTCACTTGGTTGAGTTTTGTGTTTGACATGCTTGAAAAACTAAGAATCATAAACCATGAAATTGATGTTAAAATTATGAATTAATGATGCTAAAATGATTCATGAACCTTGGAGAACATTTTTATATACTTTAATTGAAGTTTGGTGAGTAAAAGTGACATTTCCGCAAGTTGGCTCGAGGTAGAAGACGATGGATAATCGATTATCAACATGAAAATCGATTATTCATCGTTCTGCAGATTTTTTGAACAAAGCTGAGCAACAGTCGATTATCAGAATGTGATAATCGACTATCAGCCCTCTCTGAAGTTTGATAATCGATTATCAGAGTGTGATAATCGATTATCAGCCCATTCTGAACATCAGGCAGTAGATTATCAGAAGTGACAGAAGACTGTCTCTCTACACTATTGAAGAAAATGAAGCTAATAGTTAATAATTGAATTTCCTAGCATATATTAATCAATTATTGTTTAGAAAACATGATTTTTGAACTATGAAATCCTATTTTTGATACCAATTAATTATGCATAATATAAATATGATTTTGTATAATAAAAATGATGTTTTTGGCATATAAAATACTATGTGATGCATGACGGTAAGTTCGGGTGTTAACACTCGAGACTAGGCCGCTGTTTGTTATCAAATGTTATGTTGATTGATGATTATGATGAATGATTATTATGATGATTATGACTTGATGAAACTACTGATTAAAATGATTATTGAAGATTAAATTATGAATTGAAATGAATATGTTGATGATTATGAAATGATTTGAATTCTAAGGATATCTAGAAGAACTCTAAGATATACCTAGGTTGACGTTGNGGTTAAAACGTACGTACGGGATCCATAACCAAACTAGAGGAACTCGTTTGGGGATGCCACCCAACCCGACAGTTAGTATCCTACTGTTCGGTTTTCTAGATTTGTACCTTAAGCAAAGGCTAGTTTAAGAGTTGGTAAATCAATCGGAATATATGTACCTTAAACTAATGACCTAGCTTAAGAGTTGGTTAGAAGTACCTTAAACTCTAATAAGTTTAAGAGTTGGATAAAAGTACATTAAAACTAGAATTAGTTTAAGAGTTGGATATAAGTACCTTGAACTAGAACTAGTTTAAGAGTTGGTAAACATCAAATAGATTGGCCTTAGACTAAGAATAGTTTAAGGATATTATTGAATGAGGATGTTGAATGTTGAATACGAATATTGAATGACGAATGTTGAATATTGATTATTGTATGTTTGAACTGAATACTCTGTGCATGATATCAAATGATTTGATTATGAATTTGGATTCAATTTATATGGATGTTCGACGCATTAGATATGCTTACTCAGCTTCACCGCTGAGCGTGTAGTATGTTTTATTTGCTACACGCAGGTTAATAGAAAGAATGATGTGACATGATTCTGGAGGCAGACGGAGGCGAGATTGTCGGAATGGATGTGATGGTTTTGAATTAAAGAACATAAATAATTTATGTTTGTAATTATGATTTGTTAAGCTTCCGCAATACTGAAAACTCCGCACTGTATATGTTATGAAAAATATTATCGTGATAAATAAAAGTGTTTGAAAAGTTTTAAATTTTACGATTATCAAGTTAATACTTTAATCCGAAAGGGGCTGCAGACCTGGACGGATTAGGGTGTTACATTCACTAGAGAGGATACACATCGAAGACGATGAAGAGAACACGTGAATATACACGAACACGCAGCCGCAAATTGGGGAGATGCCTCAAGCGACTAACCAAGGTGAAGAATAAAATCAAGAGGAAGAAGAAGAACAAGAGGAAGACGAAGAAGAAGCAACCGAGCTTCCCATTGCATGGAGAACGAACAAGAACCATCCGCTTGACCAGGTAATCGGTAGCATCAATCTCGGGATAAGTACTCGAAACTCACTTAGGGACACCGTAGGACACATGGCTTTTGTTTCTCAAATTGAACCTACAACCATTTCCGAAGCAATAAACGATGAACATTGGACCTTGGCTATGCAAGAGGAGCTAAACCAATTCAAACGGAATGACGTTTGGGAATTGGTGCCAAGGCCCGATGATCGTACGATTATTGGTACGAAATGGGTGTTCCGTAAAAAACTTGATGAAAATGGAATAATCACTAGAAACAAAGCTAGGCTCGTAGCTAAAGTCTACAATCAAGAAGAAGGCATTGATTTCGAAGAAACTTATGTACCCGTAGCACGTTTAGAAGCTATTCGTTTACTTCTTGCTTTTCCTTCGTCTATGGATTTTAAACTTTATCAAATGGATGTTAAGAGTGCCTTCCTCAATGTTTTTATTCAAGAGGAAGTGTATGTTGACCAGCCCCCTGGGTTTGAAGACTTTGAGTTTCCCGACCATGTCTTCAAACTCAAGAAAGCGCTCTACGGTCTTAAACAAGCACCCCGTTCTTGGTACGAACGTTTGAGTAAATTTCTTTTGGATAGTGGTTTCCAAAGGGGAAAGGTTGACACCACACTTTTTATCAAGAGTAAAAACAATAACATCCTTTTGGTTCAAGTTTATGTAGACGATATTATATTCGATGCTACTAACGAGTCTTTGTGCAAGGAATTCTCAACGTTAATGACAACTGAATTTGAAATGCCAATGATGGGCGAGCTCACGTTCTTTCTGGGACTCCAAGTCAAGAAAATGAAAGATGGCACGTTCATTTGCCAAACTAAATATTGCAAGGAGCTCCTAAAACGGTTCGAAATGGACAACGCCAAAGCCATGGCGACCCCAATGAGCACGTCCGACCATCTAGACAAAGACGAGAAAGGTAAGGAAGTAGAAGTCAAAAAGTATCGAGGTATGATCGGGTCCCTTCTCTATCTTACCGCTAGTAGGCCGGATATCATGTTTAGCGTATGCCTTTGTGCAAGGTATCAATCATGTCCGAAGGAATCGCACATAACGGCGGTGAAACGGATCATGAAATACCTTGTTGGCATGGTTAACGTTGGACTGTGGTATCCAAAAGGCTCTTCGTGTCATCTCGTTGGTTATTCCGACTCGGACTTTGCCGGTTGCAAATTGGACTACAAAAGTACGAGTGGGACTTGCCACTTACTTGGTAGCTCTTTAGTTTCATGGTTTAGTAAGAAACAAGTCAGTGTTGCGTTATCCACAACCGAAGCGGAATACGTTGCCACCGGTAGTTGTTGTGCTCAAATCCTTTGGATGAAGCAACAACTCGTGGACTATGGCCTTAGTATCAGTCACGTTCCACTTCATTGTGATAATACTAGCGCAATAAGCTTGACGAAGAACCCCGTTCTTCATTCAAGGACGAAACACATTGACATTAGGCACCATTTCATTAGAGATCATGTTCTCAAAGGTGATGTCGAAATTGAGTTTGTTGAAACACACAACCAAATAGCCGACATTTTCACAAAACCTTTAGAGAAAGAGTCGTTCTTCCGAATTCGTAGTGAAATCGGAATCCTTGACTCCACGATGATCTAATTTCTGCATTTTATCACTCTTTGTTTGAACATTTACTAACTTGAGCGTCGGAGGGTTTTTTTAACTCTTTTTTGTAGGGACGGTTTGAAGTGAAGAATTCTGGAAGTCAGGGGGAACCAGTGATGGGTGGGTTATACCATCACTGGGAGGGAGGGATGTTCATTTTTTTCAGAACTCCTCTTCCCATCGATGGGAACTTCTTCCCATCGATGGGTGATTGACTCTTTTTTTTAAAATTTTTTAACGGATTTCCAGAAGTCCACTACCCATCGATGGTAACTTTGAACCATCGCTGGGTGGATGACTTGTTTTTTTTAAAATTTTTCCAGAACCTCCCCACCCATCGATGGGAACTTCCTCCCATCGCTGGGTGTTTGACACTATTTTTTAAAATTTTTAACGGATTTCCCAAAACCACCTACCCAGCGATGGGATGGTATTAACATCGCTGGGAAGGCTTTCGTCATTTGATCTTCACCTTCCAGAACCCACCCTCCCATCGATGGTAGATTACAAACATCGATGGGAAGGCAGCCCTGATGTCTTCCATTGCGTTCCAGTGGTGACCTTCCCATCGATGGGAAGTCTTACCCATCGCTGGGAAGGCTGGTGCATTTCAAAACTTCAGAGCCGTTTGGCACCACATTAATTGCCCAACATCTATTTTTTGAATTCAAACGGCCAAATCCTCCCTTCCCTATATATATCCTTCATATTTTTTCATCCTAATACACCATTAACATCATAATTTCATTCCTTCATCCAAATCTACATATTTGATCTCTCATTTTTCAAAAGCGCCCCAACAATGGCCGGTGGAAAGTCCAAGTCGAAGGCCTCCAAGAAGAAGGGCAACGATGAAGCTACGACCTCTGCGCCCCAGCCATTTTCCTATCTAGAAGGCTCATTTCTTGAGTTCGGGTCGGAGGAAGAACTCACGCGCTTCCTCAATCACTTTGCCAAATGCCTGATCTCTCCGCCTCGCGTGCTACCGGAGCTATATCCCCAAGACAAAGGGTACCACAACCTCGACAATCAACTCAAAGAGTCGGGTTTGTGGCCCTTCGTCTCAACAAGCCGCACCTCCTACAATCCCAGCCTATGTCCGAGCCTTCTACTCAAATCTGCGCCGTGACGGGGACACCATCTACAGCAGCATCAATCTCTGCGACATAGAGATTGACTTGACGACATTTGCACGGATTGCAGGGCTGCCCATCCGCGGTGACGACATCACAACGTACGATGGCGATGATTGGATCCTCAACAACGAGGCAGTCGTCATTCGCGATCTTTGGATCACCAACTTGATCCGCCACAGCGGCGCGCCGACGATCCACTCGGCTCCACCGGAGAAGCGTCTCCTTCTCTACCTCATAACCCGGATTCTTCGCCCCCGGGACAGCAGCCACACCTCGCTCTTCAACGAGGACTTGAAGGCGATTCACGCCATCATGTACGGCACCTCCATCAACTAGGCGAAATTCCTCATGATTCACATGGCGGATTGCGCCTCCATCGCCACTGAGCAGAGCTTGCCATACGCCTTCCTCGTCATGGACCTCATCGTCTCCGCCGACATCCACATCGCCGGGCCAAGCTCGAAGATGACGAAGTTGTGGGTCATCGCCGACACCACTTTCAAGAAAAAGTCCGGAGACCAAGACGGCATCGTACCAAGTCGTGCCAATGCCCCTGCTCGTGCCCCTGCCCCCGCTCTCACCCGGGCCTCGTTGCAGTCCATAGCCGACACACTGAATCGGCTAACACTCACGATGGACGACATGGGGCAGTACATGGAGCGGATGGATTGGACGTTGCAACGCCAACACCACGACATGACGGCGTTCTTCCGCGGCATCAACTACGTCCCGCCGCCCTTTGACAGCACCATCCTCGGCCAAAACTTTGAGGGCGAGGATGAGGACGATGACTCCTACGCTCCGTCCTCCTCTCCCGACGAGGCTGACTTTGAGGATGCAGTCGACGGCGATCCCATGGATGTCGAGGACGACGAGGATGACGACGGGGATGAGGACGCTGATGCCTAGACTCTTCCCTTCTTTCCTTTTTTTAATATGATTGTATTTTTTTAATTTCTATTCCGTTGTATTCCGCATTTCCCTTCTCTTTAATGAATAAAAGTTTACTTTTAATTCTTTTTGTTAATGTCAAAAGGGGGAAGATAAAAAGGTTATGCATAATTTGAGGGGGAATTTTTTATTTCATCACAAATACTTTATTGAAAATAAAATTGCATTTAATAAGGTGGAACATCTCTTTTGGTCTTAAACTAATCCTCCTATGCATAACCTCGTCTTGTTTGCCATTATCAAAAAGGGGGGAATTGTTGAAACACGGGTTTGTCACGTTTTCGTACTAAAGCCGTGTTTGTTTTTATGACAGGTTTTGATAATTCCAAACCACCGTGAACAAGATAAAACATTGAACATACAAGGCGAAGAACGAAGATGAGAACAAGAGCTAAAAGAAGACCAAGAACGAAGACCGTAGTCTTAGTGTCGTTGAGCAGGTCAATTGTGATCAAGACCGACCCAACCTTGGAACCTTGGCTCTTTAGGCTAAACTTCTCTTATTGCATCTATTAAATCATAAAAAATTTTTTCAAACATGTTTAAAACATTAAAAAAAGTTGGTGTTTGCCCAAACCAAAACCCAAGCCATCTGGCGTTCGGCTTTTAGAAACCGGCGTTCAGCATTCCGTTTTCGGTGTTGGTTTTTGGCGTCCGAACCAACCAAGTGGTTTTCAACATTTTATGATTGGTTTTTACTACTTGGCTTGTTTAAACAGTTCTCCAACAAAAACACCTTGAAAACCACCTTTCGTTTTTGGTCATTTGGCAAAAACCACGTAAAACGGCATAAACTTGGCTAGCCGCGGTTTTTACCCAAATGACGTGGTTTTTAAAGTTTCTCACTTGATTTCTTAGCCAAATACATCAAATAAGTGTTTTAAACACTTGGTTTTTATTTTGGAGAACTTTGGATTTTTCGGTCAGTTTTTGCATCGGTTGGCTACGCCGTGGTTCAGGCAAAAACCATGGGTTTTTGACTAACCACCCACCCAGTGATGGGAAGAAATACCCATGGATGGGTAAGAGGTCCTCTAGTCCAACCAAGTTCCAGAACCATGCCAAACAGCGATGGGAAGTTCTACCCATCGCTGTTAAAGCCTTGGCCCAACATCAACACAAGGCAGAACGACCTTACCCAGCGATGGGGACTTTACCCCATCGATGGGAACCCAGCGATGGGAAGGCGAAACCATCGATGGGAAGGAATGACCGTTTGAAGTCATTTAAGGTTGATTCTTTCCTTTTTTGGAAGTCAACCTCCCACCCAGCGATGGGAAGCTTGTACCCATCGATGGGTAGGTGACCGTTGGCTTCAAAACTGAAGGAAATTTGGCCTACCAATGATGGGTAATGTCCATACATCGCTGGGAAGCCAATATCCTGCAGATCCACAATTTATTCAATCCAATAAATCAATCCAATCACACCTTTAATGTATTGGTCCGTTGGAGCCTACTTTGGCACTATAAAAAGGGGTGTTTGGGTCTACTTTTCTCATCAATTCACTTCACAATTCTCCTACTTTAATTGCATTCAAACAACATCTATTTCCATAGCTTTTTAGAGCCAATACGTGTGAAGTTTGAGTTGTTCTTGAGCGTACTTAGTTTACTCATTATCTACTCTATAAGAGAGTCTCGTTCTTAAGTGTATTTGTGTTCCTAGACACGTTAAGAGAAAGTATTTCTCTCGGTTGATTCAAAGGAAGGGTTGTTTCCTTTGAAGGATTCGTTGAGGTTCGTGTGACTCGAACTCTCAAGTTGTTAGGGTTTGTTAAGCACTGTTAAGCTTAATGAGATAGTAGTGTAGCTCGAGAGAGTATCTCGGGAGGCTGGAATAGCCACAAGTTGTGGTGAACCAGGGTAAATTCGGTGTGCCTCTTACTCTTCTCTTTACATCTCTTTTAAAATTTTTAATTCCTGCGATTTCTACGATCAAACGCTATTCACCCCCCCTCTAGCGTTGGTCTATTATTCTAACAATATATACATATATATATGTGTGTGTGCGTGCGTGTGTGTGTGTGTGTATATAGATACATACATACATACATACATACATACATACAGGCATACATACATATATATATATATATATACTACCTCTGTCCCACTATATTCGTCCACTTTTGACTTTTGGAATTGTTCATCTAAGCACTTTGACTCATCAGATTCTCTCAATGTGTAAGCCTAAATATAGTCATGTGTGATCTTGTTTGATTTGTCTTAACATATAGATTATTAATATATAATTTCTATAATTTTTTAATATACAAATTACAAGATAAAATGGATTAAAGAAGTGCATTGGATGGTGTGTAAAAATGAAAGTGAACAAATACTCTGGGACGGAGGGAGTATATATTTTTTTAACCAGAAGAAAAAATTTTATTAATGAAAACGAAATGAGGGGAGGCGCTCGTTGATAAGAGCAGCCATTACAGATGAAGGACAGTCCCTAAAATTAAAATATTCAATGAAAGAACAATCTTTGTCCCAATCCTCCTTAGCTAAGAGATCCGCAGCATGGTTACCCTTCCGCAAGGTATGTGAGCTCCAGACGTCATTCTCATGAATCAGTTTGGCTAAGGTATCAATCGGAAACGGAGAATGAGCGTAATACGTGTAATATCCAATTCTCTTCAAAATCTCCAAGGCATCAGTTTCATAAACAAGAAGATGATCAAAGTTGAGAGCCCATTTAATACCTTTGATGGAGGCGTCTAGTTCGGCTTGGTAGGGGGATGAACGAGAGACTGAAAAGGAAGACGCACGCAGAAATCTGCCCTCATCATCTCGAACAATTGCCGCACCACGTTTGGACCCAGAGGTGAAGGATGCATCAATGTTAAGCTTGAGGCGCCCCTTAGGAGGAACTAACCACTTAACAACTCGAATTTTATGGGCCTTAGGGAAGAAAGGCAGTAACTTATTCTCAGTGAGCCAAGCATCTGCACCCTTATGCTTTTTGGGAATTTTAGAAGCCAGCCATTGCCTCACAAACATAGATATGGAATCAATGAGAGTTCTTGAGGAGAAATCAGATTTACCTTCATGAATGTTAACATTAAGTTCCTTCCAGATATGCCAACAAATGATACCCGGGAGATGCATACGAAGAAAACCATAAATGTTGTTGAATTAATTTACTCTCAGCCACCAATCCATGAAATGTTGATTGATGGAGGAGGAGGATCTGTGCAAGAAACCAAGGCAAGTAGAAAAATGTTTCCAAACTTCCTCAATCTGTGGACAGTCAAGAAACACATGTTTAGAGGCAAAGGAAATTGCCCTATAGAAGGGGCAAATAGAAGGCAGGTGGAATCCTAATCTTTCCAGATTTTTAGGAATAGGGAGGCAACGTTTGAAGAGTTTCCAAGTGAACACCCCAACCTTAGGATTCTATGGTTCCATCCAAAGACATTTGAAAGAGGCCACAATGGGAGAAGAAGGCCTGTAAAAATCAAAGGCAGATTTGAGGGAAAAAGAACCATTTGCCTCAAGAGACCAAACCATTGATCCATCCTCATTGAAGGTACAAGCATTAGAAGCAATTTCATCAATCCTAGAAATCCTCTTCCAGACCAGGGAATCAGTCAAGGCCTCCCAAATATCCCCCTCCCTCCAGTACTTGGACCTCATTAGCCTAGCCCATAGACCATTGTCTTGGTGGAATTTCCACCAAAGTTTAAGGCTGAATGAGTCCTCCAGGCTTTTGAGATCTCTAATGCCAAGACCCCCCTCCTCCTTAGGGAAACAGAGCTTCTCCCAACTAATCCAGTGATGTCTGTTACCACCACCCCACCAGAGTGTTGCCATTTTCTGCTCAAGAAAATGAGAGATGGCCTTGGGAATGGTATTGACTGCCAAGAAATAGTTAGGAAGAGCGTTCAAAACATGCTTGATGAGTACCAAACGTCCAGCTTATTATAAAAGGACTGGATGAGTTTGGAGCAGTGAATCTTCCTAGTAATCCCCAAATCAATAGGCACCCCAAGATAAGTAAAAGGAAAGGACTTGTGAGGCATCAAGAATCTCTCAAGCTTGGTGATAGCTAGTGAGTTGAGTTTTGTGCCAGTCATGAAGATGCTTTTGCCATAATTAATGGTCTGCCCAAAGACCAACTGGTAGTCATGGAGGAATGTTTTGAGATTAAGGACAGTCCTGGAATTTCCAGAGGTGAAAATTAAAATATCATCAGCATAAGATGATATACCCCGGGCGGCTACCAACGACTCTAAAGTCGTTAAGCAAATTAACGGAATAATGGCTAAGTGTTATGATTCCTTTTGGACCGAACTTATCAATCCTAAAACCCGTCACATAGCCATAATTTCCCTGAGCCCAACTCCAACTTAGAAGGTGTAACGCCCCAAAACATACCTTAGAATTATTAATAGATAATTATTAAAATAAATCAAATTTGTTTTGATTAAAATAAATTGTTATGGGCTTTGGGCCGATAAAAATATGTTTTGATATCCCATATCATAATCAGGATAAATCTCATAGAGATAAGTCCAATTTATTGACTATTTGTGTGGTCTTGATTGGGAACCTAAGTACAGACCCAAATCAAGAATAAATGAAGAAATTAATTATGATGTGAACATTGAAATGGTTTATTGAAATAAATCATGAGAGTAAATAATATGAATTGAATATAACACCTTTTATAGTAAAGGTCAAACAAATCAATTTTGACTCTGTCAAAGTCAACCACCCAAAAATATGATGTCGGAAAAAGTATTACAAATAATTATGAAAAGTATATCGTTGGATAGAGCTCGACTGTCTGATCGCAACGGTGCAAACAGATTTCAATTTGGAGAAAGTTGGACCAAAAAGTGTACCCCGACTGGAACCAAAATAGGTCCCAATCAGGGAACTGTTTAGACGGCGCCTCCTNTGTAACGCCCCAAAACATACCTTAGAATTATTAATAGATAATTATTAAAATAAATCAAATTTGTTTTGATTAAAATAAATTGTTATGGGCTTTGGGCCGATAAAAATATGTTTTGATATCCCATATCATAATCAGGATAAATCTCATAGAGATAAGTCCAATTTATTGACTATTTGTGTGGTCTTGATTGGGAACCTAAGTACAGACCCAAATCAAGAATAAATGAAGAAATTAATTATGATGTGAACATTGAAATGGTTTATTGAAATAAATCATGAGAGTAAATAATATGAATTGAATATAACCCCTTTTATAGTAAAGGTCAAACAAATCAATTTTGACTCTGTCAAAGTCAACAACCCAAAAATATGATGTCGGAAAAAGTATTACAAATAATTATGAAAAGTATATCGTTGGATAGAGCTCGACTGTCTGATCGCAACGGTGCAAACAGATTTCAATTTGGAGAAAGTTGGACCAAAAAGTGTACCCCGACTGGAACCAAAATAGGTCCCAATCAGGGAACTGTTTAGACGGCGCCTCCTTCCCCACTACGCCGATCGCAGAATTGTGGAGTCACCATAATTGTTTTCTTCTTCTCTCCTTCTCATTATATAAGAGAACCCAACCTTCTCAGTTCTTCACCATTCTTCTTCATTCTTCTTCATTCTTCTTCCTAAGTGTTCATGAAAGTGTGAGGAGTGTTGTGGTGCTGTCAATTTGATGTGAAGTCGCTGGAGTTGGGAGAAATACTCGCCGGAAGTTTCGCCAGAAAATTTCCAAAACCTCCGTTAAGCTTCGAAGTAAGCCCGTAGATATATCTAATGACTAGAATGTTCATATAGATCGATTCTACGTTCATAGATGGTCATTTGGTTGAGTTTTGTGTTTGACATGATTGAAGAACTAAGAATCATAAACCATGAAATTGATGTTAAAATTATGAATTAATGATGCTAAAATGATCTATGAACCTTGGAGAACACTTTTATATATACTTTAATTGAAGTTTGGTGAGTAAAAGTGACATTTCCGCAAGTTGGCTCGAGGTAGAAGACGATGGATAATCGATTATCAACTTGAAAATCGATTATTCATCGTTCTGCATATTTTTGTAACAAAGCTGAGCAACAGTCGATTATCAGAATGTGATAATCGACTGTCAGCCCTCTCTGAAGTTTGATAATCGATTATCAGAGTGTTATAATCGATTTTCAGCCCATTCTGAACATCAGACAGTAGATTATCAGAAGTGACAGTAGACTGTCACCCTACACTATTGAAGAAAATGAAGCTAATAGCTAATAATTGAATTTCCTATCATATATTAATCAATTGTTATTTAGAAAATATGATTTTTGAGTTATGGAATCCTATATTTTGATACCAATCCATTATGATTAATAAAAGGATGATTTCTTGGAATAAACATGGTATTTTAACAACTAAAAGGGATCTTATGTGATGCATGACGGTAAGAAAGGGTGTTAACACTCGATGCTAGGCCGCTGATTGTTATTAGTTATTATGATGATTGATTGATTGTTCATTTTTATGAATACTATGGATAAATGATGATGAATATTCTGGATGAAATGATTGTTGAACTAAGAGTATGAATTGATGAATAATGTTGTTAAGGATATCTAGAAAAACTTTAAGATATACCTATTATCTAATTAATGTTAAGACTATCTAGAAGACCTCTAGAATAGATCTTAGAATGAACTTATGAAAACATGAATAGTTGATGAATTAGATATAATTCATAAACGGGATTCGTAGACCAAACTAGAGGATTACTCGTTGGGAATGCCCGATCCATTGTTGACCAATCGCTATATTGTTGTTGCCTTAACTGACTACAGTTAAGTGTCCGAAATCATTTGCCTTAAACTAATGATAGTTTAAGTGTCTGATGTCCTTAACTGACTACAGTTAAGTGTCCGAAATCAATTGCCTTAAACTAATGATAGTTTAAGTGTCTGATTAATAATTGCCTTTTAAGAATGTGATTATGGAAATTATGATTTGGCCTTAGACTAAGAATAGCTAAGAGCATTATTATGATCTGGCCTTGGACTAAAAATAGTTAAGAGCGTTGTTATGATCTGGCATTAGACTAAGAATAGCTAAGAGCGTTGTTATGATCTGGCCTTAGATTAAGAATAATTTAAGAGCACTATTGAAATAGTATCTGAATTGAATAAAATGTGTTGGTATGAACTGAACAATACCAAAACTGTGAATGTCTTAAATGAACATTGTGTGCATGATATCAAATGATTTGATTATGAATTTAGATTCAGTTTATATGGATGTTCGACGCATTAGATATGCTTACTCANAAGTTTGCGTGTCTCTCTCTTTTATCTTTATTCTTACTTGCAATTATATTAACCGTGAAAACTAACCCATCCATATTAATTACTGCTCACTCTACCCACCAAATTCCGCACACAATCTAAAGTTCACAAGGACTCTAGATTAACACTCATTTGCACGTTTTCAAAAGAAACGAAAAAGATTTTAAATCTGTAACAAAGTCTATTCACCCCCCCTCTAGACTTTGTATTTCACCACTTTGGGACCACCAATTGGTATCGGAGCCAACTTCTCACTATCTACGTTTAGATTAACGAGAAGCGATCATAATGGTGAACAATATGGATCACGGTTTGCCCAAGTTTTCTCTGTTAGGTTATGATGATTGGAAGATCATGATGGAAGCACATCTCTACGCTCTACATGACTGCATGTGGATGGTGCTTGAGGATGGACCCTTGAAAACCCAAATGGAGAATCCCGAGAGGAATCCAGCAACTCCTGATGTAATCCAGTACATTCCAAAGCCCAAGGAAAAATGGGATGATAGAGATTGTAAAAAGCACAATCTGGACAACGTTGCCAAAGCAGCCATCTTCAAGACACTTGATCCCATCACCTTCTCCAAAATCAAGCATCTCAAGACTGCCATGGAAATATGGCAAGGTCTTGGGAAGCTATGTGAGGGATCAGAGGACTTGAGAAAGCAGAAGATAGAAGTCCTACTTGAGAAGTTCAAAGGCTTCAAAATGCTTCTCGGAGAATCATTTGATATGTTGGATGAAAGGTTCCACAAATTCTTGAATGATCTTGCCTCACTTAACCACATTCTTTCACCCAAAGAAAAGAATGTAAGGTTGCTGAGATCACTCCCAAATGAGTGGTACACCAAAGCCACAGCCATGGAAGAAGGAAGAAACCTGGAAAACTACACTGTTCAAGGTCTCCTTGATGAACTCAGAACCTATGAGCACGAGCTGAAAAAGAAGAAGGAAGAACAAGTTACTCCCTTCCCCACGGCATTGATGACAACTTCAAGAATTCCATCAAGTGAAGGGACATGCACAAGAAACTGTGACACACCTTCCTCTAGCCAGCCGTCAAGCTCAAAAATGGAGAACTACAAAGAGGATTTTGCCATGATGGTCAAACAATTCCGGAAGTTCAAGAAGTTCTTCAAGAAGGCTGATTCAGTCAGAAGGCCATCCAAGGGAAAGCCACAGGTAAGTGACTCCCCTCCTGAATCTTATTTATGTTATAACTGCAGGAAGCCTGGCCACTGGAAGTCAGCATGCCCGTACCCAAAAGTGGAGAAGTACGGAGAAAGAGAAAGGATCGAGAAGAACAAGAAAGCAATGGTTGCTGCTGAAAGTGACGAGTCATCCAGCTCAAGCTCGGATGAAGAAGCCCTCGTCTGCATGGAGTGCAAAGTTGAGAAGTCCAACCATGAGGATAGGTGGGCTATGTCAGAAGATGACACTCTCTGCCTAATGGCCAAAGATGATGCTGATCAAGAGGTAACCTCACAAACCTCCTGCTCATCTTCTTATAGCACACCAACTTCTGAAAATCTTTTTGACCAGTTCAAAAAGATGATGAAAGACTTTGAGGAGATAAATCTCAAACACACATCCTTAACAGAAGAGAACAAACTATTGAGTGAAGAGAATCTCAAGTTGACTGAAAGTC